CTCGTTCTCTTTCTCCTTGTAGAATTGTGCTGTTCTAAAAATACCTTTATTAGCAAATCTAGATGTTGATAAACTCAGAATAGTGGTTATTTCTTGGGTGAGGGTAGAATATAACCTGGGAAAGGGCACGAGGTAACTTCATGGGGTCCTTTAAGTGCTGTATCTTGATCTCAGTGCTGGTTACATGGGAATTTCTGTTCTTTACCTTAATATTTTGGTATAATTGAGAGCTAGAAAGTATAAGTTGATTTAATTCTGTTTCACACAAAGATAATCAATTTGGTGCAGATTATTCTAGATATATTCAATGGAAATACTAACACATACTTCACACCATGTCACCACATGGATATTTGAAGAAAATTGTTATTTGCAAATAAATTATTTGTTTTTCTGATTGATAGGTATAAAGAAAGTTCTACAAAGACATAAATTGTCAGGAAATTGCCACATGATTACATTTCAAGTTGAATTTCAGATTCTGGAATTCCAGGTAAACGAAAGATTATGTTGTGATAACAGAGATTCTATTGCTATGAAATAAAAATCTCCCCTCCCTTAGCTTCCAGCAGTTGCTGAACTGAAGAGCAGTTCATGAACCAGGATCCACTTGTTGCATATTTGTGCAAAGTGTACCATTTCAAAAATTTTAAAGTATAAACACAATACCCCAACAACTGCATGTGGGAGGGTTGTTGCTGGGGGATAAGTGCTTTATTGGAGGGCAGGTTGCAAGATGCTCCTGGGCTCCCAGTGCTTGCCCTGAAGTGCTGGAGGCAATCCTGGATGCCTGTAGTAGTTCACTGATATGCCAGCCATGTGTAAGCTTTTATCTATTGCTGCTTAACAAATTTCCCCAAAATTTAATGGCTTAAAGCAACAACAAAAAGAAACCACATTGCCCTGACTGGTTTGGCTCAGTGGATAGAGCATTGGCCTGTGGACCCAAGGGTCCCAGGTTCGATTCCGGTTATGGGTGTCAGAAACAAATTAAAAAAAAAAAAAAGAAAAAGAAACCACATTATTATATCACTCATTTCTTGTGGGTCAGGAATTTGGGGGCTGTTCAGTTGGGTGTTCTTGCTTAGGGCTTCTCATGAAGTTATGGTCATCTGGGACCACAGCTATCCAAACACTGCTCTGGGCTGGAGGGTTAGACTCCAAGGTAGTTCATGGTTATGCCAGCAAGTTGTACTGGACTGCTGAGACACAGCACAGGAGGAAGATATTTTTGACTAAGATTTCCACATAAAATTAGGAAGCAGACAGAATGGTAATGTATAACACATGGCAAGGGTGGAGTGGAAGAACAAGGCTCTGTCTGACACCTTCAAAGGCTGGCACTCAGAAGTGTGGGATCCAGGCATAATTTTGTGAACTAACTGGGATGGGGTTCATGCTTTGATAGCAGAAAGCACTTCCAACCTGTTGGTTTTCCAGCTGGGCCTACCAAGAGAGTATGTATAAGAGGACAGGACAGCTGCCTTGGCTTCAGCTCGTCAGCTCACCAAAGTGGATACAGACTAGTCCACACCAGGTCCTAAGTCCTGTGGGCAGGATGCTTACTTGCATTTATGGCCATGTGCCAGGATTCCTCATCCTGTTCTCAGCCACAAAACAGCCCCAAGTTGTCCCTTTTTATATGGGACAGGAGTTGATGTCTGGTAATCGGGACCCTGTCTCCTTAGGAACTAGTCAAGGTCCAGTTATCTGGGCTGGAGGAGTTGCTTCTCGAGAACTCTTTGTAGTCCTTGTCTCGACTGCCACCACTGTCCCAGGGGGGCTGAGTGTAACTGAGGCAGAACATGGACCCAAATGGATTAGTCTTGTTTGGGACGGAGACCTGTGCCAGGAACCAAGCTTCTCCTTACTGCGGCCGAGGAACTCATGGATGTTGTCCCATTGTAGAAGGCTGCATTACAAAAGGACCAACTGCATTTTCTTTCTTTGTGGGTAATGCAATCCTAAACTCAGAGTGGTAATATACCAGTGCCCACCTGCAACCTGGCCTCCATTAATGGGCTAGCCTACAGTCCATGTCAGGTGGAGGAGTCATAGGCTTGACTCCCAGTTCACAAAATTATGCCTGGATCCCACACTTCTGAGCACCAAATCCATGTTTAAGAACATCTGCACTGTCAGTGTGTACATTGCCAAGGAACGTGCTCAGGGGTGTCCTAGTATTCCTGGGGTCCTGCAGGCTTTTTCTTGCATATCACAGTGTGTACATAATACTCTTTTTTTAAAATATATTTTATTGATTTCTACAGAGAGGAAAGGAGAGGGATAGAGAGTTAGAAACATCGATGAGAGAGAAACATCAATGAGCTGCCTCCTGCACACTTCCCACTGGGGATGTGCCCATAACCAAGGCACATGCCCTTGACTGGAATCGAACCTGGGACCCTTGAGTCCGCAGGCCGACGCTCTATCCGCTGAGCCAACCAGTTAGGGCTGTACATAATACTCTTAAAAGCTGCCTGAGATAGATGTTAAAGGAAACATGATAAAAGGATAGATATTTAAGTAGCTTAATAGTCAAGTAACAGAGATAAGTGATTGTAGGAACAACACCACTAATTTGTAAATCTTAGAGGAGTTTTCCTCGGCTGACCAACTGCATTTCCTCAGTCTTTTTCCACAGTCTGGGTTATCTGGGGAGAAACTAGACTATGGGCAAAATCAGGTTTGCCCACAAATCCAATTGAAAAGAGACTGTCCTCTGCAGTGGAGAGTGTCTGAGCTGCTCAGTGGAGCTGGACATTCCAGGATAGGTTGTGCTCAAAGATTGGTGTGCTCATTAGTAGGACTATGGCCTGAGAGGTCAAATAGACTGCTTTTTTGGTGGTGGTGGTTTTTTAAACTGCATATTTAAAGAGGCAGTCCCAGGGTGAACTGGCACTGGGCTCTGCAGCTCCCATTATGGTTTGGTTTGCTGTCCTGGGTGGCTGTTGTAAACACAGACAGGAAGACAGGACCAGAGCCACGTGGGCCCTGCCACACCGGTGCTGCTCTCCTGGCTTCAGTGGCCATGTTTCCTGCTCCTACCAGGGAGTGGCCGCACCAGCCCAGCCTTTACTTCCCTGTCCAAAGTATTTAAAAAAATATTTTTTATTGATTTTTAGAAAGAGAGGAAGGGAAAGGGAGAGAGAAAGGGAAACACTGATGTGAGAGCAGAACCTTGATTGCCTGCTCTTGCGTGTCCCTTACTAGGGATCCAGCCTGTACTCTGAGCATGTGCCCTGACTGGGAATGGAACTAGCAAACTTTTGGTGCTTGGGAAGATGCCCAACCAATTGAGCCACACCTGCCAGGGCCCTGTCTACAGCATTTTAAGCTAATATCGTATCCCATACCACCAAAGCATGATTGAAAATTTTGTGACCATTTCGTTACGGTCTAAGGTCATATGCTGAATGAATTAGAATTAGTTGAGATGCACTTGACAGAAAACTTAAAAATAAGAGGTGGTTTCAGGTACTAGAAATTTACTTCTCTGTTGCTTCAACAAAATGCAGGGTAAGTTTTCAGAGACTGAATGATCATCGAGCTCTGCCATCACCCACGTTGCTTCCAAATCATGTTGTGAATCACTTTAGCATTTGAGGCATCAGGAAGAGAGAGGGGTTGGCAAATAAGGCCTCCCCTTTTCTGTCGAAGGACACTTTTTAGAAATTGCAACACCCATAATTTTCACCTACGTTGTCTTGGCCAATAAAGTTAGTGTGAGGGAACCTGGAAATTTAGTCTTTATTATGCATGGCATGTGGCTAATGAAAATTTGGGGCAAGAGTGAAATAAAGAATTGGGGAGTAACAGCATTTTTTGTTCCATAAGCAGGAGTGGGGAACATCCAGCCCACGGGCCATATAAGGCCCTTGAAATCATTTGGTCTGGCCCTGCCATGGCAACCGCAGGTGGAACTTGAAATTCAATAAATCTAGGAGCTTTTTTCATAGCAACATAAATTTATATTAAGTGAATGATGTTATAAATATCCAAATGGACCTTGACTGAAAAAAGATTTCCCAGCCCTGTTTTAGGGAATGTGTGTATGTGTGGGGCATCTAAGGAGAGGAAGAATTTATGTCCTTTGAAACACACAGAACATAGTAATTTTGGAATCTCTAAAGAGATGTGAGCCGCCATTGCTCACATTTCAAAGTATATCTGTGTTTTGAACTGTTTCGTTTTACTTGGCTCCAGAAGGAACATGTTCTTCTCCCTGTCTCTGTTAAGAACACTCACTTCATCTGCCCCTTTCCAATTTTATGATGCTCCTGAGGACCAGACCTGTAAGCAAGATACTTGGAGCAGTCACAAACAACTCTTGAGTCAGCAAGATCTTAGGGATAAGCCATATGTGGGACTCGGGCTTTTTGGAGAAGAAAAGAACAAAGAACTATCTTATTTTTTTGTTTTTTGTTGCTTAGAATTCTGATGTAATGGACTAATGAGAATTATATTTTAAATTTTTATTATGTAGTAGTGAATCTTCACATTTTCTAGGCCTACTCATCTATATACATACATATGCATATATATATATATGTGTGTGTGTGTGTGTGTGTATAGACCCGGTGCACAAAAATTTCTGCACGGGGGGTAGGGGTCCCTCAGCCCGGGCTGTGCCCTCTCGCAGTCTGGGACCTGAGCAGAGCTCCCCCATGTGGGAGTGCACTGACCACCAGAAGGCAGCTCCTGCATTGAGCATCTGCCCCCGGTGGTCAGTGTATGTCATAGTGACCAGTCATTCCCAGTCCTTCTGCTGTTAGGGTCAGTTTGCATATTATCCTCTTACTATATAGGATAGAGGGCTGGTGCACAGTGCGGGAGGGGGGGGGCAGCTGGTTTGCCGTGAAGTTTGTCCTGGATCAGGGTGGGGGGTCCCACTGGGGTGCCTCGCCAGCCTGGGTGAGGGGCTGATGGCTGTTTGCAGCTGGTCTCACCCCCTTCAGGGTGGGGGTCCTCACTGGGGTGCCTGGCCAGTCTGGGTGAGGGGCTGAGGGCCGTTTTCAGGCTGGCCTGCGACTGAAGCTCCCAGCCTCTCCTTTTTTTCTTTTTCTTTTTTTTTATTCTTGGATTTATTTACCTTCTATAATTGAAACTCTGTTGCCTTCACTGGCGCTCCCAGCTCTGAGGCCCCGGCTGGCAGAAAGGTATCTGGGGTTTGTTTAGCGTCTATAATTGAAACTTTGTTGCTTTTGGAGCTGTTGCTTTTGGAGCTTAGAGCTGGGCCGCGGCAGGCAGGGAACCTTCCTCCATCACTGGAGCAAGCAAACCTCTTGCTCCTTGCAGTTGCGTGGCTGCCAGCCGCCATCTTTGTTGGCAGTTAATTTGCATATCTTGCTGATTAGCCAATGGGAAGTGTAGCAGAGGTACGGTTAATTACCTTTTTTTTCTTTTATTAGATAGGATATATATATGGGTGTGTGTGTACATATATAGAGCCAGGGTCTGTAACATCCAAAACAACCGAGCGGATGACCGAACACCAGAAGTCAATCTTGCAGTCAGTGCTGGGTCATCCCGGTGACCCAGCACTGACTGCCGCCGCTGTGGGCACGGCTACCCAGCACTGACTGCCGAGGGGGCTGCGGATCAGGCCCGGAGAGAGAGGCAGGGTCTGATCTGCAGCCTCCGTGGCAGCTGTTGATCAGCCCTTGCCTCTCTCTTTCTCTCGGGCCCTAGCCAGCAGCTGCGCCTCTCTTTTACTCTGGACCTCGCCAGCAGCCATGTGGGCTGCTGATCAGCTCCCCTCTCTGATCAGGCCTGGAGATAGGCCCAGAGATGCTGACTGGCATAGAAACCGACCAATCAGAACCAAGTATGGGTGAACTGTGAAGAGCCAATGGCTGCCTAGAAGACTGAGCTTTTGACGCTGACTGGCATAGAAACTGACCAATCAGAATCAAATCTGGGTGAAGTGCAAGGAGCCAATGGCTGCCTAGGAGGTGGAGCTTTTGACGCTGCCTGGCATAGAAACCGACCAATAAGAACCTAATCTGGGTGAACTGAAAAGGCAGAACCTAAGGATGAGGGCTGAGGAGGGGTTTCAAGGGCAACAGCTGTTCGGTGTAAGGTGTAAGAAAGTGGTTCAATTTTTTAATGACTGGTTTGGCAATATAGTGCATATGGCTGGG